CTGTTTTGTTTGACTACCGTTTTTTGCCTGTGCCCTTCTAGTTCTGATTGCCTGCAGTATACCGACCTCTGAGCTATTTCCCTTGACTACCCAAATCTGGATTCTCCTGGCTATTCCTGTCTACCGGCGCCGACCCTGGATTGTTTGATTGACCTGATTTAGCTTCTCGGACTTTGTATTATTTTACCTGGTTGTTCCTAGTAAAATATCTTCTGCTATATCGCTCGTCTGGTCTTATAATTGAGTCCACCACACAACACCGTTTGTCGTCCTTACACGGCACACCTGACAATGATTAATTATATGGACAATTGTGGGTGTGGTGTATGAATGTTAACACTTTGTAATAATTCTTTAGGATATTACTTGTGTGGTGTAGAAGATAATTATTTAAGAATGTAATTATGTAAGAATGTTAACACTGTTATAATCTTTTTTTTGCATAATACTTGTGTGGGTAGAAGTAAATCATTTACTGCTTGCAAACCAATAATGGTAAGATGATGTCATGGGGTAGGACTGGATAAGTCTGACTTCTTCCTACTTCCATTCAAGCATGTACTAGGTATAAGCAAATTGATATTGGATTATGTGTATGTGTGTTGTCATATCAACTGTTTTTACATGCTTGAAAGAATAAATCAAATCAAATCAAAATTCAGTATGTATGCTACGTTACAAAGATAAGAAGCCTAATACAAGCCAACACACCCGACATTACAACAGCAGCAGTGACATTAAGGTAACATTAGGATAACCCTATGATAACTTGACTAATTTATAGGCTAGCGGTAACTGGTCTGGATGTGTTTTCAAGCTGAACATGGTACGGAGTATTTTATCTTTTCCTGCTTTCTTTACAAGAGACAGTGTTTTTCTGTTAAGCACAGGGGTTTTGAAATCCTTATATCCAAAGGCGAGAAAATATTAATCTCATTACCAAAGCTAGTTAGTTAAGTTAATCAGATTTAGAATCAGCTTTATTGGCCAGGTGTGTTAGACACACGGGGAATTTGACTGGTATAGCGGCTCTCAATGTGCATGTACATGTCCTTTTGTACAGCAGCAGTGGACAAGTAAACAATGTAAGGCTGAGAACAGAAGTAAAGAAGTAATGTGCAATTAAGCAAAGGAATGTGCATTAGGAATAAAAATAAAGTACTATATACACACAGTCTGTATTCACAGCAATTCTTCTCTGGTGAAAGTAATCTAGGATGGATTGCAAAAGACCGAGGAAATAAGGAAAAACAACACACACAAGAGAGCACGAGTACACAAGGCAGCTATAGTTGTCAGTGCTATCTTTCTTAAGATGTTTGTGTCCAATTTTCAAACATAAAATAGGTAGTATTTTCTGTTCCATGACTGTAGACACTGTTTCAACTTTATTTTTGGTGCTATGTTAACACACACTCAATATTTAAACAGTACACCCTTAGTGGACACACACACACACACACACATTCAATATGACACAAAATACACAGGATAATGTGGTAGTACAGCTTGAGAGACATTTTCTCCCCATTAACCCCCAGGCCTTTTATATAATGGGATTTGATGCAAGGCTATGAAACAAACACAGTCTGGTGCATGCTAATAGCTGGAATTCTTCCACCATACTCTCACATCTGATCAAGGAACAGCTCATGGTGCTTAGCTTAACAAATACAGGGAGACCATATGCTGCCTGAAGATTTTTTGGCAGCAGGTGCACTGCCTATAATACTGTGCTGTAGTAAGAAGGTATTTTTCTTTTGTGATGTTCCGCAGGCCATACCTACATTCCACATTTGTTTGTGGTCTCCTCTCAGCTATTTGAAATGCAAACAATGTGTTTGTATGTTGCGGAGAGAATTATAAATGCTGAGTTTGAAAGTCTCTGGGAAATATATGCATATTGTTTCCCCTATGACTTGTTGCTAAGATTCTGCCCAATGCGATTATCTGACTACAGATACATAGTGGATACAACTGAAAAACTCAAGTTTTTTTCCCCCAATTAATTAATTAATTAATTTGCTGATGTCTAGTTTCTTATATTGCCTAGTCGCCAAATCCATATTAATGTGCTTTGGGGACATTTTTGCTGCTAAGCAGACATTATGATTTTGTGCCATTTCCTGTCATGGTTCACAGTGTTTGTGCTTGACCTTAATTCCAAACTCACAAGAGGGTTTTTTAAAAATATAAAACAACCTTTTGTGCTAAAATAGAGAGTGTGAAAGTTTTCACGAGCTCTCCATGGTGACCTTTATGTCAGCCTACATAAACTGGCTTTCCACAGTAACCCAGTGGACATTTACAGTATAAAGTGTATGCTACAGTTCGAAAAGGAGCATTACTGAAGCTGTAAGATAGAATGATTTCACTTGCTAGTACTTATACTGTATACCTTGGCTTCCAGCATCTGTGCAGTGGCAGCCTGGTCACACTTAGCCTGCAGAGCCCATTGAAGAAACACCATTGAATGCTTTATCTCTGACAGCACAATGATTTTTAAGATGTAAAGAGCCAAACATCAAAGCCATTTAGTATGCCTTCTTCAACTATCTGTATACAATATAAGTAATAAAACAAAGGAAATGTACTGCTTTAATACTAATGATCCACTAGTGCTGGTTTATGTTTGCTATTGTCCCATGAATCCAATAAAAAGACCAAAAGGAGGTCCCAGTACATAGTTTTAGTTGTAGTACATACAGAATAGGCTAATAATTAAATGTAATGTTAAACTAATGTCATGTAGGTTTATTTTGTTTTCTTTAATCAATCATCACTCAAAACAAGTGCATTTTCTGAATTATTTATGTGTCAGAAATCTCATGTTACCATTAAAAATGCTGTAAACTAGAAAGTGTTTACTATCTAGGTAATAATACACGTGATCTCTGACACTGAGCATGATGCTTGTGCATTATTTGATATAAACACATATTCACATGAGCAAGAGCAAAAGTTACCAGGGCCATGGCTCCTCTGGTCCCCACACTTCGACAGTCTATGAACAACACAGCAGACAGTTTGTATTGGCTTATTTTTAATCACCTGTTCTCTCCTAGCATTTCAATCCCCACAGCATGACTTTCATTCCTATCAGGTTTCTCTTTTTGTCTTTGCCATCTCTTGTTAAGTGGCTATCTTCCTCGTCATGGTGCAGCCCCTGACCTCATCAATAGCCCTGTACTCTCCTTGCACCATCATTAAGGCAATGCTCTGGGCTGGCTTGTCAGAATTGGGTGGCCTTGTCAGTCAGCAGCCCAGACAGCTGGGTTCATCACAGCCTACACTTTGCTCCTGTCTGCATCTCCTTCCTCCCACAAACACGTGGATCAACCCTGATAACAGAGTGCTACCTCCTTCCCTAACTGCTGCATACAACTTCAGTCATTCTCTGAGGCCTGTCGGCCATGGTGGTGCTGCAGGACTGCTTATCATGCCTAAGTAGAAAATGTTTAATCCTCTTCTTTTGCACGTTATTTTTTCATTCATTCATTCGTGTGAATGCCACACTGAAAACATAACCTTCCATTCCCCACTCTTAAGGCCACATTAAAGTTTCATAGCTTTAACTGGGAGCAAGAGGCACTAGCTGAAAACTTCAGCACCCATGCATCAGTCAGTGTCTCGAAGCTCCACTTTTTGTTTTAGACCTGAAGCCAGAAAGTAAGTTTTGAAATCCAGACATTACAGAAAAACCAAACCTGAGTCATTGTGATTGATCACCAATCCCATCAGTGGTTTTCCTGCTCAGAGATCCAAAGAAGTGGCATTTTATCTGGTACCTTCATAAAAGGTGTGATTGGTGCATTATTGCAGCTGACTGAGAATAAAACTGATGCAGCAAAGTGCATTGCATCTAAACATATTGGGTGCCTCGCCGGGCATGTCTATGAGACAAAAGCAAATCAGGCTCCTGCTCATCAAGACACTGTGACAAAGCACTACTAGTGATCAACAACTACACATGGTACTTGTCAGCTTAGCTAGAGCCTTTATCTGATCAGTGTTGCCAGGTGTAAGATAATTATGGTATTCATACAATAATTTGATTCTTTGTACAAAGCACAATCAGTCACTGTAAAAATCTCTAAATGTACAAAATTTTCAAATTACAGTTTAAGTTTTTGTTGTCATAATAGTTAAACAGTGCAGGTCTGATCTGGAACCAGTCAATGGATATCAGAATTTTTAAATGCAGCGGGGCTCTGTATGATGAGTCGCTGAGGCTGCATTTCTACTTTCTCTGCAAAAGAACACGAGTGAGAGCTACAAAGACCTGCTGCCTTTATGGACAGTGTCAGTAGTTGGACACCAGACCGGACCCGGCTCTCAGAGGTGACTGCCATTACAAGCCAGCTGAACCAGCTACTGCTTAATTTGAGCAAAGTTTTCTCCTGACAAATTTTCATAACCCAAAGTCTGTGATGACCTAAGACCAAAAGAATTTTATGACTGAACAAAGTAAAGAAAATATGTCTGGTGCTGTATGTACTGCTGCATGGTTCAGTTTGAGTCTCTATAACCTACTAACTAGGTATCAAAGTAAAAAATAGAAATGCAACAAACAATGCAAGTGAAAGTTTGTAAATAGTATATATTAAGGTAATACTCTTTCCTTTTTTCGATATTTGTAAATAATAATGTGCAGGTGTTAGGTATACATGGAGTGGGGCAGGGCTGTCCCTTATATTTTCACAGTGAAGGTAACAACCCTACATAGATAGAATTTCTTTAATATGGTCACTTCTCATCTGTTGATAATGTTCATGATAACACCCACACTAAAACCCATACTAACACAATGTAGCATGTGAAGATAGCTGTTAAATATATGGCTTACCATATTAGAATTCACCTTTACTGAAACATTATTTTCTCTGTCTTCTTGAATTTTTGGCAAACAACTTCCCTGCCTATTATTCTGCCTAGAATTATTCACCTACTAGTCTGGCACCTTCCAGGCCAACACTTTATTTGTATTCTCACACTTCAGGCTGATTAGGCTGGGAAAACACTGCAACAATTAATCTTGCTTTTAAATGCATTGCTTCCAACACATAACAATGAATTTAACAGGCAGAAAATATGTCCTCAATAAATGATTAGGAAAGGATGAAAAAGTACACATTTAATTATATAAGTGAGACATATAGGCTAAGTTAAAGTTTCAAAGTGACTGCTTCCTCAGCCTGTCTCCCCTCACTGCATCATTTCACCACTGTTGGTCTCTGCACTGAATGGAACCTATGACGACCAATTTATGAGTCAGTAGTTTCTGTCATAACTAATGTCCATGACTTAAATTCCACATCTTTTCTACACATCACTGCAATGTCAAAATATGTCATTTTCTGGGTCTTTGTAAGGCATATAAGGGGATATTTACAAAAGTTTTGCAGCTCATTTCTTCACACTAAACAGTGAAGTGAATTTATACATTTAACCTCATGCAATATGGATTTTAAGACATTCCTGAAAAAAGGACTTAAAGCTAATATCATAACAGTGAAAACGTTTTGTTGTTGTTTTTGCCTCAGATTACCTTTATTTCAATATTACCTTTTGAGTAATATTGTAATTACGACCCATTCAGTGCCTTTGTACCAGTTTCAATATCTCTAAAATACTAATACAACCAGCAAATCACAGTATTTTGCCAAAAAGAGAACAAACACCTTGTTACAGACTGGGTTTTTCTGCCTCACATTACCTTCATATCACTCTTGTGGATTATATTGGAAAGATTGTCAACCATATTGTCTGATCTACCAGTTAAAGTACCTCTAAAAAGCCAGTCAAGCTAATAAAATGCAATTTTTCCTTGTTAAAACATGATTACAGCTAATATCTTGATACTGAATGTGGGTTTTTGGCCTCAGATTAATTTTATATCACTCCTGTGGCTTATATTTTAAAGATTATGAGCCAACCGGTCTGTTTTACTAGTTTAAATAACTGTAAAGGGCTGGTACTTCTAATAAAATCTAGATTTCTTCCTGCCAAAAAGTGATTACAGCTAATATATTGATAGTGGATAGTTTTCTGGCTTGTATTACCGTTATAACAGTCGAGTGGTTTGTATTTTATAGGTTAAAAACCATCCAGTCTGCTCTACTAGTTAAAGTACCTGCAAAAATCCATAACAATCAGTAAAATGCAGTTTCTCCTTGCCAAAAATGTGATTACAGCTAATACATTGTAATATACTTGGATTTTCTGCATCAGATTACATTTATTTATCTCTTTTTGGTAATATGTCAAAAATTATAAACCATCCGGTCTGTTCTACCAATAAAAGTACTTCTAGACCAAACCAGTAAAATACTTTTTTTAAAATACACCTAGGACCTAATATTAAGATGTTAGCAGGTTGACATAATGTCTTTTTTCTTTTTTGTTAAAAGTTGTTACCTATCTACTGCCTCGTCCTCATTATTTGCACAGTGCACAAGAAGTTACATGGAGTGACTGTGGTAAGAATTACCTGCCAAACGTTAGCATGTTAGCATTTAGCTGAAAGCAGTGCACTCAAAGACAGCATCACAGAGCTGCTAGAATGGCTATAGCTCCTGTTTTGGCACTGCCTATTGTGGTTAACCAGACCAATATGATTATTTCTGACTCCATCCATCTATGTATTCTTCCCTCTCTAACATGATCACTTCAGTGTTA